AAATAAAGTTAAAAAAATGAAAATAAATAAAATATATATAAAAAAGAAAATAAAAAATGTATATATATTTATAAAAAAAACCCGAAAATATACAAAATATACAAAAAACTAAAAATAATGTTAAAAAACCATGTGGTGTAATTTTTTGCAAACCTCAGGGACCAAATTTGAACTTTTTAGGACTGATTTTGCAAAAAAAATTAACCAAGTTAACCATGAAACTCGTTAAGTGGGCTAGAACAATAATTCTTTGAGAAAGTTGTGGCCATAGCAATAAAAAAAATATTATGGCTTTTTCCAATTACGCATTAAAAATTTAGGGCTTTTATAATATTAGTCCAAGTTTATATCTATAAAGTCTTGAAATTATCAATTTTTTTAATAGTGAAATGGTGGATGGACATGGGGTGGAGGTAATTTAAGCAATAAGCTGCTTGGATTGTTGATCGTGTTGCAATTGAGTCAACATTCGTGCTTGTTCATTGCAGGTAAAATTATTTCCTTTCCATTCATGAGTTATTATTTTAAAAATAGGTATTATATTGTTAAAAAAATATGCTATTTTTTTTTACAGTGATGGATGTGATAGAACAACCCAACTAGTTGCACTTGCGAATTTGTTACTTGATCCATATAACCACACCATTAACGGATTTCAGGTATTCAATTGAAATATATTTTAATCAATGATGGTTACCTTTCATGTATATAAGATATAAAAAGTTACTTTTATGTAGGCTTTTGTGGAAAAAGATTGGCTTGTTTTTGGGCATCAATTTTCAAACAAGGCAGGAATGGAAGCTTATTTGCGAGTAGTTTATATTCGATTTTTTTTTGTTTTGTGTTTTTTATTACAGTGCATGAGAGTTGTTTAGAATTACTTATTATTTGTTTAAAAAAGTTTCTATTAGATTTTCTGGGATTTGTGTTTTTTTTTATTACATTTGTGTGCATTTAATATTGAAGAACGTGGATTTTTATGTAATTATTTAAAAAAAATTGTTTTTTACCGACGGCTTAGCGACGGAAATCCGTCACCAAAAAATGTTGTATATTCAGTCGGTAATCCGTTGAAAGACGCTCCGTCGGTAATCCGTTGCAAAAAGTATTTTGTCGGTGATCTGTTACTAATCACCGAGGGAAAATCCTTCGCTAAAAATTTGTTGTAGCTGTCGGAAATCCGTTACATACAATTAGCGACGAGAATATACCGACGGATTTTGGTCTGTTTTAATTCCGTCGGTAAAGACCATTAGCGACGGAATACCGACGGTTTTGGCCGTCGGTAATGCTCTATTTTGTAGTGATGATTGAGCCTTTCGTTATGGCCTAGTCTATTAGGGGGCGTTTGGATCGTTGGACTGTTTTCATGGAATGTTGAATGTGTCAAGGGTTTTGGAGTTTCATGGATTTATATTTATAAAGATTTAAAATTTGTGTAGTAATAGGTAATTATATATTCTATAAGCCCATACATAATAAACCCACCTAAATTAATCAGCCCATTTTTTTGATAAATAATTATGTATATCCTATATAGGCTACAAATAATAAACCCACCTAAGTTAATAAGCCCGTTTTCTGTTAAAAGGTAAATAAGTTAATAAAAAATCCAACAAAATTAACAGCATAACAATCGTGAATCACTTTACAAACCCTACGCATAGTCTTTGTAAAATCGTGAAACTCGTTATAAACCTTGAGTAGACTCTTTATTGAAGAATTGTTGTTAATAATCGACTAATTAAAACTTCATCGCCTCTAGCAATTTTCAGTAACAGGTATTTATCCGCTTCTTTCTCTTCAAGTTTATTCGTCGTTGTCAAATCCCAACTATATTTTAGTTTACCACCATATGAGTTGTCTTTCCGTCCATGTTTGTATTTTACATGCATACAAAGGTTTTGATGAAATGCCTCAAAGAAATCCGCTTTTGATAAAGTTTTTTTTTTTTAGACGACTGCATGTAATGTAGTGGGCTTTTCAAGAAATTTGTTAAGGAATAAGTATCGGTCTAAAGTACTATACAAATGTCATAATGATGATGAGGTATGTATGTATATGGACCACATGAGTGCAAGAAACAAACAGGTGAACAAGAGTTGAATTCGTCCTAGTTGCTATTTTGACACATTAGCATACAAAAGCACGAATACACCATCAGACTAAAAACACAATCATAACCATCATGTTGGGTTTTAGCTCTTAAAATAACCTTGTTTTTATCATTCTCATTCTCATTCTCACTCTTTTGAGATTCCAGGAGATGGTTTTGCAATAAGTTACGGACATGACCCCCTTAGACCTACCTGTTCGGCTGTTCCTCAGGTTACATAGTACTAATTTAATTACTTATAATGTTGCTCATCATTTGCATATTTCATAATTGTTCTTGAAGAGCTGCATATGGATCAATCTTCCAATCGTATGGCGATTAGTTATTAATTACAAACAGTACTTATAGGAACTAATTAATCAAGGAAACTAAATAAATTAATCACATTTATACATCCACAACCCTCCATCCTCAAGGTGATTTGTAGATATCTCTCTGTACCATACACTGATGAATTTATCAAAGTGCTTCTTTGGGTATCCTTTAGTAATATTTGTCTATCCCATCTCATTATTTTCATTGATGAAATGTTTATGTACTTTCACATGCTTTGTTTTGTCATGAAGCAATTTATTATCAATAACTTGGCTTGTTTACCATCAACATTAGAATGTAATATTCTTAATTGATGCATTCAGCATTTTTGTCATTTAATCGACAAATATCAACCATAGTGTTGTATATATACAATCTCATCAACCATTGTGTATCTATTTTGCACTTATCGGGATCTCACCCAGTTACATAACCCGCTGAAATCCATATGTATGTATGACTAATATTATGTTGCTAATCCTTGTGTGTGTCTCTTCGTATTTGTACACTTGTCCCTTATTTACAAATCCTGTATCTTATGAGGTATCAATTTTTCCTTTGCAAGTGTAGGCATGACTAGAAACCAGAATCATGATGATAATTCATCATCATCATCCAGTCAGAAGAGGTTCAAGACTTTTGACAGGGATGGTGTCGCATTTTTGTCAGATCTTCACCATGATGTGCTTTTTTTGGTAATGATGCGACTGGGATTTATTGATTTTTTTGCATTCAGTGGAGTTTGCAAGTCATGGAGGTCATTTGCACTCGCTAACATGAACAGGTTTATGGCGTCCAAACCACCCATGTCAATACGTGTTGACCACTATCCTGATAATAAAAAGACATGGCACCTGAAGGACTTTGAAGGAAGAAAGTTCAAAACCACCATTCCCCATTCTGCTTGGAGAAGATGTGTTGGATTAACTTGTGGTTACTTGGTCTTGATGGGGAGGGATACCCATGACTTCTGGCTTGTGAATCCTATCACAAGGCATGAACATTATTTCACTGATCACCCGTTATATGTAGGTGTAGGTGATCATCTTGTAACTATCAGGCCTATCCTTGTCTTTTTGCCTTCAATATCTGGGTGGGTATTTGTTATGTTACATAGAAAAGAATCCTCATATAGAAGGTCAGATAGAGCTCGTAAGGGAAAAATATCATTTTCTATAGAAGGTAAACAAGGATGGAATCATGTCTCCTCCACTCTCCCCATCGTTGGTTTACAATATTTCAAGGGGAAGATATATACCCTACACATTGATTTCTCTGTGCGGGAACTCAGAATCTATCCAAATCGGAAGCGCAAATGGACGTTGCTTGAAACCAATAATTTTCCAGATCCAGACTTGTTTTTCCAAACCAATAATTTTCCAAAGCCAGACTTGTTTTGGCCGGAGCTTGTAAACTCAGGTGAAAACCTTTATGTGATAGATTGGTTTGCACCAAACGAGGTTCTGGAACTAGATATTGGTGAAATGAAATGGGTGTCACCAGAAAAGACAATAGGAGAATATGCAGTCTTTCTTAACATGTGCGGATCTTCTGCTGCTATTAAACCTGAGTCATGGGTTGGCCCTCGGACACAATACAAGAGTTATGATAAGTTTCTTGATACTGATAGAAGTCGAGTACACCATATCGATTCAAACTCGATGTGGTACTTCCCCCATGATTGTGTTAGTGTTAATCTCTTAGATGATCAGTGACAACTTCTTATCTTTGTTTTGATTCACGACTACAGTTAGTTGGTTGCATCTTGCAACTTATTATTAATTGGTTGTCAGTCACTCTTTTGCTTAAGGTGGGCACTCTTATCTTTGTTTTTATTAATTAAGGACTAGCTATAGCTTGACTATTCTACGGACTACAGTCCAGGACACTGTCTCTATGGTTTGATTTGGTTAGGGTTTGAGTGGGTTGGGGTGAGCGGGTTTTTTGAACTTTATATCAATTTAAATATTAAAATTAATGATGAAGCTTGTAAAAAGTTATATTAAGAATAAACTAGTCATTTTACTTTGGACATGGACATTCACAAAAAAATCATCCTAAAATTAAACTATTGCCACCCAAGAAGACATCATTTTTTGCATTTTTCTCTTGAATTACACAATAAAAACCACTAATGACACAATGAACTTTGGGATTGTTATCTAATTTCTTCTCTCTCTCTCTCTCTCTCTCTCTCTCTCTCTCTCTCTCTCTCTCTCTCCATTAAGGACAAACAACTACTTTGCGATTGTCGCATCTCCGGTGAAATTAGAGATCAAATTGACTATAATTCTAGTTGGTCTGGTAAAGGAGATAAGCCTATCTGAAATCAAGCTAGTGAAAGGCCCTCGTGAATCTTCTATTTACTTTTTATTTCATGATTTTCTTGCTTTTTATTTCGTAAAAAGGCAAAGAACCTCAACTGATTTACCTAATCTGCAAAAAATCTTCAATTTGCTAGTGTGTACAAGATATTGAGCCGTTCGATTATATGGCCGGGTCTTGTAGTAATGAATATGTATATATACTATAGTAGGTTTAAACTCGTGGAAACTACGATTGAGAAAGAAAAAATTTTGTTAATAATTTCAAATCGTGATGACTAATAAAGAATTTGCAAAAAAATATATATATATTAATTTACAAAGATAGAAGTTTGTCTGTAAATTTATAATGATTAGTTAAAATTAATATATACGCTCTTATGACTATCTGAGCTATGTTCTGTATTTGTAGATAATAATAAAAAAAAGATGACAAATCAAAATGATGAATAAATATGTATTATCTATTAAAAATAAAAGATGTTATAATGAAAAAAAATTTATATTTTTTTTAATAAATTTCTAAACATTTCTTTATAACTTGTGTATTACAAAAGTTGACAAAGTAAAACAACATTGAGATCTTTAAAATCATAATATTAACCAAATATTTGAAATCGTAGAAAATCATTTTGGTCCTACAAAAAAACTTATTTGTCTCCCTTAAAGTGTCTGAATTTAATTTTGGCTATGATTACAATTCCTAATTTAGATTCCTAATTTATTGCATAATAATCCATAGAGTTTAATATGTCGATGATAATTTTAAACAGGTAAAACAAAACTATGATGCTTTTATAAACAAATCAATAGAAGTATGTTGCCATTTCTTGCCAATTGTCATTTGTGCAGACTACACTTGCCACCTGCATATTTAAAAATATTGGTAATAAAGGACTATATATTGTGGAATACACACATGTTTTCAACCTAGAGAGAAATGGTGGAAATTTCCCAATGCTGGATAATATACTTCAAAGCTGCATTGTTTTGTCTATGAGTGGGTGATTTGATGTAATATGCACCGCTTTCTTTTATAATGTGCACAAAATTTGACAAGTTCTTTTTTAGTATGTTTGTTTGTAATTTTGTTCCCACAAGAATATAACATTAGTAAAAAGAAAATGAAAAATATACATTAATAAAACAATATAAAAAATAATAGAAAGAAACATAGATTCTAAATTACCTATTCGTCAATTAGAATTAATTCAAGACAAAATTTCATAAATGGCTCATATGGTTTGCAAAATATTGCACTTTGAGGACCTCTATGGAAAACATAACGCCGTTGGTCCCTATAATTTCAAAAATTGCATGATTGGTCCTTCTGGTGTTAACTTTAACTTTTAAGCAATTAGTTTTTTTTTTTCTAAATGACCAAAATATCATTGGACTAAATCTGAAAATTATGTATACCACAAGGATCAATTCTGAAAATTTGAAATT